ATTATTATTATTATTATTATTATTATTATTATTATTATTATTATTATTATTATTATTATTATACATTTGTTTCGTCCTTAAAAATGCTTACCAAAGGATGTGAATACGTAACACGATCAAAGCATCTCAGTAAATCATACCCCAAGACAATCAAAACATATATGTAAAACAGACCCAACACAGGTCAAAAATCAAAATATGGCGGATAAAGTACTTGGTCATTGCAATAATAATAGTATTTTTAAAAAGAGTGTCAAACTCTAAGCATTCAAAAGTGACCGAAAGGCGGCTAAACACAAGTGCAGGATGCATTCAGAGAGACCTTGTGTAGTTGAGATCGGTGGATTATGATTATCAATGTCAATTTCGCGAAGTTTGATACATAAGCAAGGTGAGCGACGTAAAAAAGATTACTAGGTAACGCTGTGAAGTGTTTTAAGCTATCATCGAGGTTGGGGAGGAGAGGATACACGCAGATCTACGAACGTTGTATAAAATAGGTTCTACGTTTTAAAACAAAACATTAGATGCTCTTGATGTAATTTTGTTTTGTAAACAACAAAACCGCTCTCACTATAAACAGCAATGTAATTTAGCGTGTTATTCATACCACTAATCAAATTTTATCATATCGCTTTACATATACGAACGCTGTCAAGTCGAAAATATAACACAATTATTGCGCTAAAAATGTCGCCGGAAAAGCTTCACGCCAATATGATCCGTCACAAGATAAGACGTTATCACGTGATGTGAAAACAACATAGCCAAAAACATAGGCAACAAGGTAAACTTACATACGATGGGGCCAATTGTACAGACGGAACCCAAAAGCCCCGTCCCAAACCCCTTAGACCCCTACTATTACCCGCTAACTCCAGCAGCCCCGCGGAACGAATATATCAATATCATTAGTTCAGTAAACAAACGTTCGCTGTTATAATTAATGAGTAGTTTCATTTTGAATTTTAAACACGTCAAACGTCCTAATTACTTAGTGGTTTCGAGGCGTGAACACCAAAAATTCCTTATCCTTAAGCAACGAAATGGAATTCTATTTAACAAATAAGAGTCCGAGATTTCTATCGTGCGATAGTTTAAGAGGGTGCACCCGTGTCAGCTATCACGCATAGAAATAGAGAGCGAATAATCTATTAATTGTTTTAGTATAAATCTACTAGTTGTTCAAAACTTCATCTAAATCCTCTTCACAGACACTTTGAAAACGTAAAGAAGCAGTCGCCATTTGGTTAACAACCGCACACTACTGAGCTACTCTCTATGTACAACAGAGTAAATGTGAGTAACATAGCCAATTAGAGAACGGCATTCGTAATAGGACGCTAGCAGATTTATACTAATATTCAGTAGTTCCATAGCGATTATGTGGTTTTCAAGGTGCCAAAAAAACAGACGATATTCAGTGTCTATCGAATTTACTAATTTAACACCAAACAAATCCGCATTCAATTACGCAGCTCATTGGCGCATAACATATGACACATATGGGGCCAGGTATTTGTTAAGCTTCAGTTCCTTCAGACGCTTCAATCACGAGCTCAACTCAAGATTGATAAAGGTAAATGTTGAGAATGGCTGATTTCCAATTAAAAAAAGTTTGCTATGTCAATAAAAACATCAAAACTTAACAAAAGAGATGGAAAAGGAAAAGAAAATGACAATCTATCGATCAATCCAAAAAAAAAANCGTATCAACTATCACGTATAGAAATAGAGAGCGAATAATCTATTAATTGTTTCAGTATAAATCTACAACAGTATAAATCTACAAGCGCGGAGCATTTTGACCACCAACATGGCACTTATAAACGAAAAGACAGTTTGACCTGCAGCAACTTCTTGCGCCTTCCTGCGGTTAGATTTTCAAATTCTTGCGGCTTCTTGCGGTTAGACTTTCAACTTCTTGCGTTTCGAATGTTCTTGCGGGTAAACCGCAAAAACACAACATTTTTACTTTTTGCGGCGGTTTGCGGGTTCTTGCGCCACTTCTTGCACGTGCATTATTTTTGGGCTGTACCGTAGTCGTTCAAAACTTCATCTAAATCCTCTTCACAGACACTTCGAAAGCGCAAAGAAGCAGTCGCCATTTGCTTAACAACTGTACACTACTGGGCTACTCACTTTCTACAACAGAATAAATGTGAGTAGCATAGCCAATTAGAGAACAGCAATCGTGATAGAACACTAGCAGATTTATCCTAATATTCAGTAGTTTCATAGCGGTTACGTCGTTTTCAAGGTGCCAAAAGGACAGACGATATTCAGTGTCCATTAAACTTACTAAATTAACACCAAACAAATTCAATAGGCAGCTCATTGGCGCATGACATATGACACATATGGGGCCAGGTATTTGTTTAAGCTTCTGTTCCCTCAGACGCTTCAATCATGAGCTCAACTCAAGATTGATAAAGGTAAATGTTGAGAATGGCAAAATTCCACTTTAAAAAAGTTTGCTTCGATAAAAACAACAAACATCTCAACACAAAGAGATGGAAAAGGACAAGGAAATGACAATCTATCGATCAATCCAAAAAAAAACTCTTATCCAAATAAACCTCTACTACGCTACAGCACAAAAAATGTTGATGCACTATATTACCCAAAACCCCTGCAGCGTTGAATCTAGAAAATGATTAATGCGTTCATTAATCCAGAGCCGCTTCGATCCTTGGCTTCAAATTGAAAGTCAACTGAATGTTTAGTAATGATCCAACCGTAGTCCAGTCAACATTCAATATTACGTTGGATGATGACAATACTCAGTGGACTTTTTTAAATAAAAGCCAAGGATCGAAGCGGTTCAGGATAAATGAACGCATTAATCATTTTTTAGGCGGAACAGTTCAGGCATTTTGACTGCAAATATTGGTTCCCATCTGAGAGATTGAAAACTTTCACAACGTAAACGTTCTCCAGCCACCGTATTTGTAATCTTACGTAAACAGCGTTGAGATCACGCGATACATGAAGCGATAAAATAATAGCTAAGGTGGGGTCTTAAGCATAAAGGACTCGTACTGAAATAAGCTGTTCCCACGTATTGCATCATCTCAACAGGAAACCAGCCAGGGCAAATCGGGTCAAGAACCAAACGGTTGAGCGTTAAGTTACCGTCATTCAAACAAGTTGTCGGCATCTTTTGAGTACTTTCGACCAATCGAACAATTCACGAATTATAAGTAGTGCCTGAGGTAACTTTCTCTTTTGCCATATGCAAAATAAGCGTGAGCGGCAAGAGTAGAAGCCAGTAACCAAGAAAACTTACTGAATGCTAAGGAGTACTACTTTGACATCGATGACAGCCGAGGGCGTAAAACGATCCTAAAAATCCGGTTTTGGTAAATACACCAATGCCTAGATTGGAACCGAAAATAACTCCGCATTCCTTCGTAACAGAGGCTTCACATCCGTCGCGGGCCGAATGCGGTTAAAGATATGTGCGCTATAGCTATGCAACTGTACGAGTAACTCGAGTGACTTTGTGCTTCTTCCGAGGAAAAAAAGTAATTAGGAGCAGCATCAAGGATTTTAAGATGATAGGGATGTGTTGGGAGCACTGGAAGCACTGGGAGCAGGGAACACTGGCAAGACTTCATGAATTCAAACAAGACAGGCAAGGAGAGCATTCGGTTTTTATATCCGTCAGAGACATGGAACTGCGATGATATTACGATGAGTCAACAAAACTCGAGATGGCATAGCATTTTCAAAAGAGATAAGGATCTTTAACAACAAGTTGATTCACTAATCAAAAATCATGTAAAGAAGCCCGAAGGCGGAATGTTAGTATGCGATGGAAAGATTAGCTCAACCGTGAAACTCGAGATGGCATAGCGTTTTCAAAAGAGATAAGGATCTTTAACAACAAGTTGATTCACTAATCAAAAATCATGTAAAGAAGCCCGAAGGCGGAATATTAGTATGCGATGGAAAGATCAGCCCAACCGTGAACATAGAACATAGGAACAGGGTCGGGAACCACTAAATTTCCGTTGGCAGCCCTGTTCCCAAGCAATTAGGAGCAGCATCAAGGATTTTAAGATGATAAGGATGTGTTGGGAGCACTGGAAGCACTGGGAGCAGGGAACACTGGCAAGACTTCATGAATTCAAACAAGACAGGCAAGGAGAGCATTCGGTTTTTATATCCGTCAGAGACATGGAACTGCGATGATATTACGATGAGTCAACAAAACTCGAGATGGCATAGCATTTTCAAAAGAGATAAGGATCTTTAACAACAAGTTGATTCACTAATCAAAAATCATGTAAAGAAGCCCGAAGGCGGAATGTTAGTATGCGATGGAAAGATTAGCTCAACCGTGAAACTCGAGATGGCATAGCGTTTTCAAAAGAGATAAGGATCTTTAACAACAAGTTGATTCACTAATCAAAAATCATGTAAAGAAGCCCGAAGGCGGAATATTAGTATGCGATGGAAAGATCAGCCCAACCGTGAACATAGAACATAGGAACAGGGTCGGGAACCACTAAATTTCCGTTGGCAGCCCTGTTCCCAAGCAATTAGGAGCAGCATCAAGGATTTTAAGATGATAAGGATGTGTTGGGAGCACTGGAAGCACTGGGAGCAGGGAACACTGGCAAGACTTAATGAATTCAAACAAGACAGGCAAGGAGAGCATTCGGTTTTTATATCCGTCAGAGACATTGGAACTGCGATGATTTCACGATGAGTCAACAATACTCGAGATGGCATAGCGTTTTCAAAAGAGTTAAGGATCTTTAACAAGTTGATTCACTAATCAAAAATCATGTAAAGAAGCTCGAACGCGGAATATTAGTATGCGATGAAAAGATCAGTCCAATCGTGAAATTCCAGATGGCATAGCGTTTTAAAAAGAGTTAACAATCTGTAACAACAAGTTGATTCACTAATCAAAAATCATGTAAAGAAGCCCGAAGGCGGAATATTAGTATGCGATGGAAAGATCAGCCCAACCGTGAACATAGAACATAGGAACAGGGTCGGGAACCGCTGATTTCCGTGGGCAGCCCTGTTTCTTGCTCCCCCTACCCCCCTCCCCTCCACCTCCCGCCCCATACGCTCTATGTGATGAAAACAGAACTGGAGTTCTCGAGCAGCAAATCGCCTGGAGTTCTTGAGCAGCAAATCGTTCGTCGCGTTCGCGTCTTCGCTATTAGCCTGTACACTGGTCTCTCACTTTGATAGGTTTGAAGCAAGTCTATACAAAGGATGAACCAAGCTCGACAGCAAACAAGTACACAAGAAGAAACCTGCGAGGTGAGTCTGCCTTATTGCAGAACAAAAATATCACATCTCGTCGTCGCTGACTGGGACGTTGGATACCAAAACAAAAGCTGCAAATCAGTCTCATGAACGAATGAAATCAACACAGAGTTCAATAATCAGTTTTAGCTTTCTTGTTTGATTGCATGTTTAACGTCCAGTCATTCTGAAATGATGTAGCTATCAACATTTGCACTGAAGTTTATAAAGATATCTTGTCCATTGAGTCATTGCTGTATACTAGCTCATATTAAAAGTACTGCATTACTTTTCTCATCTTCAGCAAAATTTAAGTCACGAAACAAGCTTCCAACTTCACAAAACTCTGTGTGAACTGTTAAACCACCTCGGCTTGACTTGGCAAGGGCGAATGAGATATCAGGTCGCAAGGTATGTTTTGCATAGTTTTCTATTTTCTCGAATCCTAGCGGGTGTGCAGTAGTGGTAATGTAGCTCCGTGTAACAAAAAAATGTCCTAATAGGTTAATCGTTTTTAAAATTACAACCTGCTATTTTGCAATAGTACTTTGTTAACGTCTTAATATGATTGTCCAAGTAGTTCTAAGCCTCTTGAAAACATATTGAAGTAATATGTCTAGAGTTAACAGTTTCTTAGTTCTGCGCCTGTGTCATGTAAGAGAGAACAGCATTTGAAGTAAGAGATCTTTGTCTCTTTCATAGCCCTATTCAGCAACAACAGAATGAAAGATCGAGATGCTTCAATTGGGTATGTGTGTGTTTTATGTCAATTTAATTACGTATAGTAAATACACTTCTTTTGGGGCACTTGCTCAGTCGCTAGAATGATTGACCATTGAGTGATTTTTAGAAGTTCTCCAGCAAGGTGAGAGATTGGTTTAAAGCCAGTCAATAAGAGCCTGACTTGTCAAATCTACTTGAACTTCAACTTCACTTTATTTTGCACTTATATTTTGAAATTACAATCTTAGCATAAAAAGAAAAAAAGGTACATAAATAACAATTAAAGGTAACAATGGTATATAGCTTATGCATGGAGGCTAATAGAACCGCGAGGTCATCGAGTTAGCCTCCATCTCCTTTGGGTGAACATAAAAAAAGATGGGAGTAGGAGGACGGATTACTAAAGGAAAGAGCTAGAAGAATTGTGGAAACTTACGTGTGATATTGCTGAGATAGAAAATAGTTTTTAAATGCATTACATGATACATGTGCTACCACCCAATCTCGAAGTAAAATGCCCAGAAAGCACAGGCAAAAAGGAAATAGAGGACAATTACCAACGGAGAGGAGGTAGTCGTCTATATGAGGCAAATTGAAGACTTTAAGTGTTGGCATGCAACCTCCAGTTTTGTACCCATTGCTAACTGCACGAACAGTTCCGACTACCCATAGAATCGTGGTCGACTGGACCAGATACCCGTTGTACGAGGATGAAAACAGGCACTGAGAATAGAGCGCTATCCAAGAACATCACTTAATGTCAAAACAACATTTAAGTGGTGTTAAATTCATAGCTTTTTCATCCAATTATTAAAACTGGAAACAAGAACATCCCCCGCGAATAGACGTAAGTCTTAACAAGAAAGTTCATTCTTAACGAGCAAATCTGTAAATTCTGAAAGACGGAGAGTTGAGAACTCTAACAAATGATCTCTTATAACAATACATGTTGACACCTTAACTGGGTTAAGCTAAGATGCAAAGGAGAAAGAAAAACGAAAATTTGAATTAAGTTCCCAAATTACCAGAACCAGTTTGAACCAAAAATGTCTCAGAACCAAGGATGACACTGACATGTTTGTGTGTAAAATTAGAACCATTCAAATGTGGGCAAGACAATCTGTAGCGACAACAGCTTTGAGCAGTCAACCACACGAAGGGCTGGCATCCTCAGGTGGTTGACAGTGCAAGGCATGGAAAATGACGGGGAAGGGGAGGAGTCAAGTAATCTTTTAGACCACCATCCTTCGTATCACCATCACTGACTATGCATGCCCTTCAGTTCAGCAACTTTGCTTTAATTCACCAAGACAAGATTAAATCAATAGGGGCTTTCCTTTTCGACATCACAGCTACTGCAGACATACACAAATTAACCCTTTAAGTGCAGCATATCGCCATACATTGTTTTATATTTACAACTGCAAGGTTACCGTTGTTCTATGTGATTGTTGTAGGAATGTCCAGGAAAGGCAGAGTATGAAACTGTCCGTGGAATTCTGAAACAAGAAAAGCAACTGTTGCAAGTACGTATTCAGCAGCTAACACTCTTAACCTTTGGCAACAACTTCAGGTCAGCTACTAACATAAAACAATTTTGTCTGCTGCTGTTTTCATTTCTTCTGCAGCAAGAACACCTTGAAGGTAAAGATACCTCGCTGAGAAANACGTAAAGAAGCAGTCGCCATTTGGTTAACAACCGCACACTACTGAGCTACTCTCTATGTACAACAGAGTAAATGTGAGTAACATAGCCAATTAGAGAACGGCATTCGTAATAGGACGCTAGCAGATTTATACTAATATTCAGTAGTTCCATAGCGATTATGTGGTTTTCAAGGTGCCAAAAAAACAGACGATATTCAGCGTCTATCGAATTTACTAATTTAACACCAAACAAATCCGCATTCAATTACGCAGCTCATTGGCGCATAACATATGACACATATGGGGCCAGGTATTTGTTAAGCTTCAGTTCCTTCAGACGCTTCAATCACGAGCTCAACTCAAGATTGATAAAGGTAAATGTTGAGAATGGCTGATTTCCAATTAAAAAAAGTTTGCTATGTCAATAAAAACATCAAAACTTAACAAAAGAGATGGAAAAGGAAAAGAAAATGACAATCTATCGATCAATCCAAAAAAAAAACACTAATCCAAACAAACCTCTACGAAGCTAGAACACAAATGTTAATTAACGCACTATATTACCCAAAACGCCGGAAGCTTTCAACCTAAAAAATGATTAATGCGTTCATTAACCCACAGCCGCTTCAGCTTTTCGCTTAAAATTTAAAGTCAACAGAATGTTAAGTAATAACCCAACCATAGCTCAACCAACATTCGATATTCGAATGGACACTAAAATTGGATGACTACAATATTCAATTGACTATTTTAAATAAAAGCTACGGATCGAAGCGGGTCCGGATTAATGAACGCATTAATCATTTTCTAGGCGGAACACTTCAGGCATTTTGACTGTAAATATTAGTTCCCATCTGAAAGATTGAAAACTTTCTCCGGCCACCGTATTTGTAATCTTACATAAACACCGTCGACATCACGCGATTTATGAAGCGATAGAATAATAGCTAAGGTGGGGTCTCAAGAATAAAAGACTGCTACTAAAATAACGCGCATATGCAATGCATCTCAACAGGAAACCAGCCAGGGTCAAAGAACCAAACGGTTGAGCGATACGTTACTGTCATTCAAATAAGTTGTCGGTATCTTTTAAGTGCTTTCGACCGATTGAATAATTCACGAATTATAAGCACTGCCTGAGGTAACTTTTTGTGACGTGCAAAATAAGCGTGGGTGGCATGAGTAGACGTTAATCGGCACTAAACCTAAACTGGCGTTCAGGATAATTCACACCAGTGACAGCAGAGGGCGTAAAAAGATCCTAAAAATCCGATTTTGGTAAATACACCAATGCCTAGACTGGAACTAAGACAACCTTGCAATCCTTCGTAATGACGCTTCCCTAGGCTTCACATATGTGTGTTACAGCTATGCAACTGTACGAGAAACTCCTGAGACGTTTTGGTCCAGGAGGAAACAAAGCAACTAGGAGCAGCAACAACGATTTTAAGATGATCAGGATGCGATGGGAGCTGGGAATACTGGCACGCTTCATGAATTCAAACAAGACAGGACAGAGCAGCATTCAGTTTTTATATTCGTCAGATATTGAAACTGCGATGATTTCACGACGAGTCAAAAACACTCGAGATGGCATAGCGTTTCAGTCAAAAGAGTTAAGACAATTAAGGATCTGTAACAATAAGTTGATTCCCTACGCACTGAACCATCATCATGTAAAGCAGCCCGAAGGCGGAATATTAATATGCGATGGAAAGGTCAGTACAAACATAGAACATAGGAACAGGGTGGGGGACTACTGATTTTCGGGGTCATCCTTGTCGCNCTCCTCCCCCACCCCCTTCCCCCCACTTACGATCTCCCCCGACCCTAATGAAAACAGAATGGGAGCTGTCTTTTGGTGCGTGTAAGGGTCCCACCGTGGTTGGATTTGACAGTGCCTGCGTTGGTTATACGAAAAAGGGAGGTTTTTCAGGGTATGGAAGCTGTAAAGCAGGTATAAAGAGCACTGATTTTGCATCACATACATCCTAATATTTAAATCTTCGCGGTAAAGGGTAGTTTCGAGTGGAGTTATCGGCTACCCGACGTCGTTCGTCATATTCTCCTCTTCCCAGTCCCTATAAGAATGTACACTTGCCTCTCAATTTGATAGGTTTGAGGGAAGCCTATAGAAAAGATGAACAAACCTCGACAGGCAGCAAGTGGACAAGAAGAAATTTGTGAGGTGAGTCTGTTTCTGCAAAACAAACATCACATCTCGTTGCCGTCGCAGACTGAAATAAAATAAAAAATATATGCATATTATTTTCACGAACCAATGAAATCAACACAGAATTTAAAACTCTCTTTTAGTTTGCTTGTTTGGTTGCATGTTTTCCCAATTAAGAAACTTCCAGTCATTCTGGAACGGTATGGCTGTCAACATTTGCACCGAAGGTTATAAAGATATCTAATCCATTAAGTCATTGTATACCAGCTCATATTCAAGTACTGTGCAGCTCAAATTATTCTTCGAAGGAAAACTTCAAAAAATAGTCTCCGCGTGCTTAACTGGTGAAGCTTAGCCTGTAGAAGGAAACTGAATAAATGCATTTTAGTTTTCAAGTGCTTAATGGTTCCAAAATATCTTACTCTCTATTTTACTAGGAATAGGGCTTTTCATGACCATGCGACTAGAAGAAGCAACGACCTGCACCCACCAAAGACTAAACACAATATGGGAAAGAGAACTTTTAAGTACGAGGAAAAATCCGTTTTAACGCTTTACCCGCCTGTATTAAGATGCCCCTTCCTTGAGTAATTTTAAAAAATTGATAATTAAGCATTTTTATTTGTAATTTTTATTCTTTGGAAATCTATAAACCTTTTATTATATTTGTACATTTTGGCCTTTTGATGTTCTTTAGTTTTTTTTGTTTTTTTTTTTTCATTGTTTATATCTTTATTTCCCATAGCCCATATGGATACAGCCTCGTTGTTGAATGGGCTACCCTGGTAAAATAAAGTTGCTAACTTACTTACGTTACTATTCTCATCTTCAGCAAAATGTTAGTCAAGACACAAGCTTCCAACTTCACAGAACTCTATGTGAACTTCAACGTTTACTTATAAAACACCTCGGCTTGACTTGTCAAGGGCAAATGAGATCTCGGGTCGCAAGGTATGTATAGCATAGTTTTGCACTTTCTCTCTTTGTGGCAAAGAAGCTTTTAGTGACAAAACAATGTCCTAATAGGTTCGTCTTTAAAAAATTACAACCTGTTTGTTTGCAGTAGTACTTTATTGACGTCTTAACATGATTCATTAAGTAGTTCCAGATCTCTTGAAGACACATTGAAGTGAATACTTCCACAGTCAACACTGACTAAGTTCTGCATCGCACCTGCGTCATGTAAGAGTGCAACAGCATTTGAACTAATATATCTTTGTCCTTTTCATAGTCCTATTCAGGAAGAGCAAAATGAAAGATCGAGAAGCTTCAACTGGGTATGTGTGTTTTACGTCAATTTAATTGCGTATAGTAAATGCGCTTCTTTTGGGGCACTTGCTCAGTCGCTAGAATGACAGACCATTGAGTGATATTTAGAAATTCTTCAGTAAGGGGAGAGATTGTTTTAAAACCTGTCAATAAGAGTCTAACCTGTCAAATCTAAACGTATTACATGATACAAGTGCTACCACTCAATCGCAAAGTAAAATGCTCAGAAAGCACAGACAAAAAGGAAATAGAGGACAAATACATCCAAAGGAGTGGAGGTAGTAGCCTATACGAGGCAATCCGAAGACCTAACCTTGTTGGCATGCAACCTCCAGCTTCGTAACCATAGCTAACTGCACGAACAGCTCCAACTACCCATGGAAACGTAGTATGAAAACAGGCACTGAGAATAAAAAGCTACCCAAGAACAATACTTAATGTCAAACAACATTTATTGGTGTTAAATTCAAAGCTCTTTCATCCAATTATTAAAATTGGAAACAAGGACATCCCCTGTGAATAGACGTATCAAGTAACAAGAAAGTTCATTCTTTATGAGTAAAAGTCTAAAGGTCGGAGAGTTGAGATCTCCAAAAACTGATCTTTTAAAACCATGCAGGTTGGCTAGGCTAAAATGCCAAGGTGAGGGACAAAATGGATTTTGAACTGAGGCCCGCATATCACGACAACCAGTGTAAACCAATGATCTCTCAGAACCAAGATTGATACTGACACATTTGAGTGAAAATAGTACTATCCAAGTGGGGACAAGACAATCTGTAGCAAAACATCTTTGAGAAGTCGACCACATGAAGGGCTAGCAGCCTCAGGTGGTTGACCATGTAAGGCGTGGGAAATGACGGGCGAGGGGAGGAGTCAAGTAATTTTTTTGACCTCCATCCTTCGTATCACCATCCACACTGACTGTGCATGCCCTTCAGTTCAGCAACTTTGCTTCAATTGCACAGGACAAGATTAAATCAATAGGGGCTTTCCTTTTCGACATCACAGCTACTGCACACTTACATAAATTAACCCTCTAAGTGCATCATATCGCCATACACTGTTTTATATTTACAACTGCAAGGTTAACGTTGTTCTGTGTGATTGTTGTAGGAATGTCCAGGAGAAGCAGAATATGAAACTGTCCGTGGAATTCGGAAACAACAAAAGCAACTGTTGCAAGTAGGTATTCAGCAGCTAAAACTGTTAACCTTTGGCAACAATTTCAGGTCAGCCAATAAGTGAAAACAACTTTGTCTGCTGCTGTTTTCATTTCTTCTGCAGCAAGAACACCTTGAAGGCAAAGATACCTCTCTGAGGAAGCTTCTCCTGGAACTTTTACGTTCCCTCTGGAGATATCTTCTATTTAAATCTACAGGCGAGGAAAACGAGCAACTGAACTCCGCTAGGTAATTTACAGTATTTATAAACTTAGATATTCTTGCAGGGTCAAACCTTTGCGAAACATCACCAAATTATCTGGTATTTGACCCCCTTATTAAGAAACGTATCCAATGATATCAGAATAGCAGCTGATAGTGTTATCTTTGCTTGAGCAATGATTTTTAATATGTCTCCATATAACTATTGAAACCTGCAGATACACGTGCATTTTAACCAAATAATTACAAGCCTGATTTAACTACTGTCCTGCCATATTTGAAGTTGTGGAAAGGCAACCCCTCTCATGCAGACACTTTAATCTGGGTTTATGTGCATAAAAAATGACAGTGATAATATTTTAACACTAATCATGTTAGCACATGTATGATGACACTGTAACTATATGTGCAAAACTAAGGTAATTTACAGTATTTATTAACTTGGATATTCTTGCAGGGTCAAACCTTTGGAAAACGTTACCAAAGTATCTCGTATTTGACCCCCTTATTAAACGACTTATCCAATGATATCAGACTAGCAGTTGATAGTGTTATCCTTGTTTGAGCAATGATTTTTAATATGTCCACATATTTTTAATATTCAAGCCTGCAGATACACGTGCATGTTAACCAAATAATTACAATCCTGATTTAAGTACTGTCCTGCCATATTTGAAGATGTGGAAAGGCATCCCCTCTCATGCAGACACTTTCATCTGAGGTTATGTACATAAAAAATGACATACATGATGACACTGTACCTATATGTGCAAAACTAATTTCACTGCAGCCTTTTAAAGAAACCCATAATTCCCTTGTTCCATTATAGCGCACTTGGACTGTCCATTAATTCGAATATCTCCTTATGAAAGACACTTATTTTGGGCGGAAGAAAACATTAAGTCAACCATTTTCTTATTTTTAAGAACCCTTATATACTATCACAATTTTGCGGCCTAAAGGTGGTTGCATTAATAAATGGATTTCACTACACATATTGTCCTCTTTTCATGCAGATGCAGTAGTTTTCATCATGAATNCCCCCCCCCCCCCCCCCTTTTAGAAAACGTACCCAATGATATCAGAATCGCAGTTGATAGTGTTATCTTTGTTTGAGCAATGATTTTTAATATGTCCACATGTAACTATTCAAGCTTACAGATACACGTGTATGTTAACCAAATTATTACAAGCCTGATTTTACTACTGTCCTGCCATATTTAAAGATGTGGAAAGGCAACCCCTCTCATGCAGACACTTTCATCTGGACTTATGTGCATAAAAAATGACAGTGATAATATTTTAACACTTATCATGTTAGCACATGTATGATGGCACTGTAAATATAAGTGCAAAACTAATTTCACTGCAGCCTTTTAAAGAAACCCATAATTCCCTTGTTCCATTATAGCGCACTTCGACTGTCCATTAATTTGAATATCTCCTTATGAAAGACACATATTTTGGGCTGAAGAAAACATTAAGTCAGCCATTTTCTTATTTCTAAGACCCCTTATATACTATCACAATTTTGCGGCCTAAGGGTGGTTGCATTAATAAATGGATTTGACTGCACATATTGTCCTCTTTTCATGCAGATGCAGTAGTTTTCATCATGAATGGAGAGAATTCCAACAAGTTAG